GTTTTAAATGAAATACTCTAGAAATCAAATCATGTCTGTCGTAAGAATTTTGATCGGGTAGTAACTCAATTTTTATTTCTGGCCATTCGGAGTTACATGTGAATGTTATAAAGAGATCTGGTCTTCCAAATTTCCTAACATAGATCATGGCATCTTGACTTTTTTCATTCATGTATCTAGGAGATCCTGTAAATGACGATGGCAATATAACGTGCTGGCCAACATTAGAAGCGTCTACATTGCCATCATTAACCACGGCATCTCTTAAATGAATGTACTCTTCTGCTCTTAATTTTTCTGCCGACTTCCAAAAAGGAGCCGGTACTCAATTCGACTGTATATTTTTTTTTGTTTTTTTTTTATGTGTGTTACCTCAGAACTTTTTTCTGGGTGAACCGATTTCGATGATTCTTTTTTTATTTGAAAGCTGGTACTTCTCGTGTGGTCCCATATGAATTTGATCAAGGTCAGACCAATAGTTTTAAGTTATTCTTAAATAACTTATATTGAAGTCGGCTGTACAAAAATTTTAATTTTAAATTATTTTGATTTCTTTTTATGAAGTCAAGCCTCTCAGAAATCATTTTTGCCGCCATATCAACACAGTATTGATTAAATAATCCTTTGAAATAATGTATGCTGTTAAAGTCATTTATTCTCACCATGAGTCTAAATGCATAAAACTGCATACATGATATAGTTTTAGATCTAGCAGCAGTATTTTGCTGTGGAATATTTATACAATATCCGTCATTTCCAAAGGGAAACAGTAAAGGATATTGAAGTGGGTCATAAGATCTATGTATTTCAGAAACTCGCTGAAGGCGCCCGTCTCTGGTATTTAACACTATATCTCGGGGACCTTTGTCTTCATCTATTAAAAGAACAGCTACTTCATCTACCATGGGCGCGTTATATCGACCTCGATGTTCATTAGGAGGTTTCACATCAGCATGAATGATAAGTTTAAAATCATTCGTTGGTCTGTTTTCGAGATTATATTTAAAACTTTGAATATAAGTATTGTGATCGTGAAGATATGTTTGGAGAGCGTCGATAAGATCGGTTTTTAACGTTGGGTTTAAATTTGAGCGTAAAGATACCTGATCTGTATGGGAAATAAAATATATTTGCAAAAATTCGGGTTGTGCGCCTTCAGGTGGAAGTAAATTACCGATTAGATGGTAAACTTGCCCCTGGACTTTAAAAGTGGGCATAAATTTTCCTTCACGAATTTCTTTGGCACCAAATGAAGTCATCTGAAACAGAGTATTATATTGTCTAGAGTGATTTAAGAAATGCTTAGAAGATGGATGTGAGCCTGATATTAGATCTTTAAGAATTGACGTTGGTGCTGGAATTTTAGGAATATTTACTTTGCCACCAATACAACACAGTCCAGGAGCTTCAGCCGGCCATTTTTTTGCTTGACATGAATTACATATTTTATTCATTCTGCAAATATTAGTACCATTTAGCTCAGCATAGTCAAGGGTATAATCATAAGCAAATGCTGAATTCAATAAATTATATTGCCTGCGAGTTCTGTTCCCTGCTGTTCGTGCATTTTGCTGTGCTAATCGATGGGAACGTTCAGCACTTGATTCCCGTTCCCGGTTTGCCGAAGTGCGTGAATTCTGTGTAGCTAAACGTTGAGAACGTTCAGCGCTTGATTTCCGTTACCGGTTTGCCAAAGTGCGGGAATTCTTTTTAACTAAACGTTGAGAACGTTCAGCGCTTGATTCCCGCTCGCGATTTGCCGAAGTTCGGGAATTTTGTGCGGCTAAACGTTGAGAACGTTCAGCACTTGATTCCCGTTGTCGATTCGCCGAAGTACGGATATTTTGTGAGACTAACCGCTGCGAACGTTCAACACTCGATTCCCTAAAACGGTTTTGTTCACTGATCGCTCGTTGAGTAGCCAACCTGTGCAGATTTTCTTCGGGTGTTTCATTGCTGCGTAGAAGTCGCAATCGCTTTGCAGTAGCAATCTGCCTAGAAAGCTGAGTTCTTTTTCTAGGCATAATAGTAAAGAGATAAAAGAAAAACCGTATAAAATTAAAACTTAATTAAAATAAACTGAAACGTAGTAATCAGGTAAAAGAAACGTAAGGTGAGTAATTATTAAAAGTCGCATGAAATATATGTCAAAGGAACGATCGTAAATGACTTCAAAAGACGCAACGCTGCATTCAACCGTTCCGTAGGGAGCCGACCACGCGTCTGAGCCGCGCGGCATGGTACCTTGTAAACCAAAACACGCGGGCGGCGCGGCGGGGGGGGGGGGAGAGCGACAGGCGGCCAGCAAGCGCGGCCTCCTCGTCTCGCGCGCCGCCGCGCCGCCGTCGTCTTGCTTGCATCAAGCGCGCGTTGATTTCCTTAGCAGAGTTATTTTAGAAATGTATTTATTATACTCTTCAAAGATCTTACTTACTATATTTCGAAAAAGATTATTACAGGATTTTTATGTTGATAAAAAACTCTATGGTCCATAACTCATTTATAGGTACCAACTCTTAACATCTTACACACGTGATAACTTTTAAATGAAATATCCGATTGAGATGAAACAAAAAGTATTTTACTTCTATATAAATACTCTTGATAACATAATGCTTAATTTCGATAAAGATTAATATTACGATACATATTTCACGTAGTTTTTTTTTTCTTCAGACGATTTAATAATTAATTTGAACACAAAATCGGTTATTGTGATTAAACCATGATAGCTAGATACATGTTCTCGCGGACTTTTTTGTAGGTCTTAATGGGATCTACAAACCCGTAGTACATCATTTTGTTTATTGTCAATAGTTTTTGCAGCGCACGCAAAAATAGGTTTTCGATTTTACACCTTGTGTTACAAAATAGCAATTTTATTACGGATCCCTAATTTTGAAAAAAGAAAACATAGCCTATAGCCTTCCTCGATAAATGGACTACCCAACACTGAAAGAATCATTCAAATCGGACCAGTAGTTCCAGAGATTAGCGCGTTTAAACAAACAAACAAACAAACAAACACTGCAGCTTTATAATATTAGTATAGATAGGGTTCGCTTTTTTCGGAGAGACATTTTACTGTGTCGGCCCAGCATGCTGTTGAGCCTACCCAGATAAAAGCGCGCGGTGCGAGTTACTCTCTTAACATGGGGCTCGAAAGTGAGCCTCGTGTCAAGGGTGACACCTAAGTATTTGGCGGTCGTATGCCAGGGGACAGGGGTCCCTAACATACGGATTGGCGGAATGGTAGTGGGGTGGCGTCGTTTATATTCGAAGTAAACGATGGAGTTCTTCTCTGGGTTCACATCAATACGCCATTTTTGGAACCAAGCTAAGTCACTAACTGACTGTTGGATCTTGTTCCGTATAAAATGTAGTGAGATACCTTTACAATAGAGGGCTGTGTCGTCTCCAAAGAGGGAGAGCTGAACACCATTCGACGGAATGGGATTGTCGTTGGTGTACAGTATATATAAAAGTCTCCTCGATTACCTCAAACACTATGCTTTTATACTAAATAAAACTATCGAGTCAGCGCTTTTAACTAACTAGGGTTGGAAATAACAGTTCGAAAGTTCCTATCGTAATATTTTTTTAAATACTTGCAATGCTATTAAACATTACTAATATTCCCTTAAACCACTTCTGGTAAGCTTAAAATGCTTGTGTTAAGTGGTTCACGACAGTAGTCGAATGGCGGATTCGAACACACGACCTTTCTAGTTCGCGGTCCGCGCCCTGCTACTCGTATTAGTCCACTGACGCCTCTAACCTAATATATTAATACTGATAAACGTATTATAATAATGATTGACAAATACAAATAAATGAATTACTAACGTCGATTAAAATGAAGCGTCATTTAAAATGAAAAAATATTTTTGTCATGGCAAGATAAGAAAAATTGAGAGAGGAAGATGTATATTATTCCAACTCACTTCCATATAGGCGCCAAGGCCGTCTAAACTACGTCAGAAGCGGTCGTGACGGAAAAATCTTACACTTTTTCTCGCCTAGCCCCCATCCGCCAAATTCGAACCGTCCGATAAAGAACTTCGTTCCAAAATGAATCATCAAAATCGGTTCACCTAAAAAAAAGTTCTAAGACATAAATATACAGTCGAATTGAGTAACTCCTCCTTTTTTTGAGTCGGTTAAAAAATAAAAGAAAATGCACTGAGTGCATAATTTCACTTTATTTTTAGTAATAATTTACGTAATAAACTAAAATCCATAAACTGTATTTGTTTCGATATACGAGTAGGAAAAAAATGTACGAAATGTTTTTATTTCTTCTGAAAAATAAAACACACAATACGAGATTGACAATACTTTATGTTCAAAATATTAAAACGATAACTTGTAAAATAAAGTACAAAATATAATTTTATATAATTCAGAAGCCCTTCATGTATCATTTCAGGTCGGTGGTACTTATGCGAAACCGGTAATACTTCCACCACAGGTCTCAATAGGTGCACTTGGAAAAATTCAGGTACGGACAGTTTATTGTTTTTTTATTTATGATTATGACATAGTCATAAAATATATTCCTCTTGATTGAACGATTGAGCTCCTCTAAACGTATATGAAGAAGTGATTATGTTTATATTATCACCATATAAAGTTATAAGACACAAATAATGATAACAATATGAATATTTTCTTACAGGTACTACCTAGATTTAACTCTCAAGGTGACGTAGTGAAGGCTCATATTCTCACAGTGAGCTGGTCAGCGGACCACAGGGTCGTGGATGGAGTAACGATGGCAAAATTTTCAAACAACTTGAAAATGTATCTAGAAGATCCTTACAAACTACTTTTAGATATTTAGCTGCTTCTCACCAGATATTCTTGTGTTCATAGAATTGCGTCATTTGATAATAACATTTATACGTTTTTATGTTTTAACTTTTACAATTTTATAATAGTCTATGAAGTTTTCAATAAAAAAAAACTTTCTGAACGCACTTTTTTATCAATTGAACTTATCACCGGCGTAAGACTTCGAAACGAGTTACCTTAAAATAAACGATAGTCCATTCTGGAATACAATATGGGCTATATTCACGATGAAATCTTGCAAATATTTCTGTAAAAATCAACGCTTCAACGCTATTTATTGGTGCCCATTTGAGTGCCAAAAACGACATATCGACGTCACAATACTTTTTATCTGAAATTCGATCAATTTTGTTACGAAACATAACGATATAATTAACTTCAAACCAATGTTTATATTAAGTGCCTAACCACTATCTCTTCTAGCATTAATTTAAATTAAAATAAATAAACTTTATTTTTGTAGTTTTTAATGTAATAACATAACAAATTTAAAAAAGAAATTTATATAGTATTTTCAAAATGTACCAGCAATTCGTATGAAGTATACTTTTCGTGGCGAAGAAATTTGTATGTCCTCATGTTTTAGTGCTAACAGGACTCGTTGCCTATCATTCCAATTGCGATCCAGCTCACGGAGTAGACTTAAGCGAGCTGGTTTCGTAAGAAGACCATTGAGTTCTTCATAATGACCTTCACTTATTACTTGAGTCACACGAGATATTGCCTAAACGTAATATATTATAAATTATTTTTCTAATCATTATGTTATATATAAAGGTGCATAATATCATTAAAAATATATTGTAGTAACCGACTGATTTCTTATATTCACGCGAATATTTGTATAAAAGTAATTTTATGTTGTTTCTTTATTATTATGTCTGATTAACACAATAAAAGCATACGATGTTGTAAGGTTTATATAAAAATATTGTTAAGTACCTACTTCGTCATCGTTGGAGCCACACGCAAGTGTAAGTAACGATCCAAGAGCGAGTCTTATCCGACACTATTCCGAAGATATCCCGGACGTCAGTCTGAGCGAGATTAGAAGGCTCTCCAGCACCTTAAAAACGGCCAGGCCCCAGGCGAGGATGGAATTACAGCGGAGCTTCTGAAAGCGGGTGGAAGACCGGTACTTGAAGTCCTTCAGAAGCTCTTTAATTCCGTCCTCTATGGTGGCGTTACACCGGAGGCGTGGAGCAGAAGTGCGGTGGTCTTGTTCTTCAAGAAAGGTGACAACGCTCTCTTGAAGAACTACAGACCGATCTACCTTTTGAGTCGCGTCTACGTGCTGTTTTCGAGAGTCATTACGAATCATCTCGCGCGCAGACTTGACGACTTCCAGCCTCCCGAACAAGCCGGTTTCCGAAAGGGCTTTAGCACCATAGACCACATACGTACCCTTTGGCAAATTGTACAGAAGTCCGAAGAGTACAATTTGCCACTATGTCTGGCGTATGTGGACTATGAGAAAGCCTTTGATTCCATCGAAATTTGGGCGGTGCTGCAGTCCCTTCAGCGGTGCCAAGTTGACTGTCGGTATATCGAAGTGATGAAGTGTTTGTACAGTAGGGCTACGATGGCTATCCGAGTACAGAACCAGAGTACGAAACCTATCCAATTGCAGAGAGGTGTAAGACAGGGTGACGTTATATCCCCGAAATTCTTCACCGCTGCATTGGAAGACGTTTTCAAGCTTCTGGACTGGAAATGATACAGTATTAACATCAATGGCGAATACATTACTCACCTTCGATTTGCCGACGATATAGTCCTTATGGCAGAATCGCTGGTGGACCTAAGCACCATGCTTAATGACCTCAATAGTGTCTCCCAACGAATAGGTCTTAGGATGAACATGGACAAAACAAAGATCATGTTTAATGTACATGTCACACCTATGCCGGTAGTTGTTGGGAGCACTAAGCTCGAAGTTGTTGACGAGTATGTTTACCTGGGACAAATAGTCCGACTAGGTAAGTCCAACTTCGACCGAGAGGTCAATCGACGGATTCAACTCGGCTGGGCAGCGTTCAGGAAACTACGACACATCTTCTCGTCAGACATACCTCAAAACCTTAAAACGAAATTGTACAACCAGTGCGTGTTGCCAGTGATGACTTACGGATCTGAGACGTGGTCCTTCACTGCTGGCCGTATGAGGAAGCTCAAGGTCACTCAGCGAGCTATGGAGAGGGCTATGCTCGGGGTTTCTCTGCGTGATAAACTTATAAATGAGTATATCCGCAGTAGAACCAGAGTAACCGACATAGCCCAACGGATTAGTAAGCTGAAGTGGCAGTGGGTCGGCCATATAGCTCGAAGAACCGACAACCGATGGGGAAGAAAGGTTCTCGAGTGGCAGCCTCGTACCGGTAGGCGAAGTGTAGGGCGACCCCCCACGAGATGGAGTGACGACCTGGTGAGACATGCAGGAAGTCGATGGATGCAGGTGGCTCAGGACCGTGCTTTGTGGCATTCCTTGGGGGAGGCCTATGTTCAGCAGTGGACTTATGAAAGGCTGTAATGATGATGATGATGACCTACTTTATCAAAAAGTAACTTGAGCCATATGATGATGATAATGATATTAAGGTGGTCTGTACCTGGTAATGATCGTATTTATGCATCTGCGTTACAAAGGCAGTTGTTTAGGATTTTTTTTAAACAAGTAACAAACGAACATACAGTTCATCTACCGGCCATTGTCTACTGCAGTCCATGGACATCCAACCAACTTCAAACGAAGAAGGATGCAGATGAGTTGTCACATCAGAACTAAGATGGAATGTCTCACAGATACACAGTAGTGCTATATGGCGAAAGAAATAGGTATAATTAAAAATTAAATATTTTGTACAATCGACTTCAATATAAATTATTAAGAATAACTCAAAAACTATTAGTCTCACCTTGATCAAATTTATATGGGATCACATGAGAAACACCAGCTTTCAAATAAAAAAGAATCATCGAAATCGCCCATAAAAAACATATTGTCGATTGAGAACCTCCTTCTTTTTGAAGTCGTTAGAAAAGGGTGATACCTCTCCGGATGGACCCCTAAGCAGTAAAGAAGTCTTACCACCTAGTAAGGTCCATTCATGAGCATGTCGTTATCCCCAATAGTGCTCTACAGATCTGCACTCCAGTTACACTTATCTAGTTTCTATTTAATAACCTTGTTTTTTTTATAGGATCGGGTGACAAACGAGCACACAGTCCACCTGATGGTAAGTGGTTGCTGTGGCCCATAGACATCTACATCTATCCTCAATAAAGACTCAAGATGCAGATGCGTTATCACCCGTGAGGACTAAGATGGAATGCCTCTTTGCCAGTAAAAAGTGTCTCCGGTTCTCTACACTCTCCATACGAAACACAGCAGCGTTAAGCTGCTATTTTATGCTAGTTTTCTGTGAGAGCGTGGTCCTTCCCCGGTCGAGCCGACCCATTCGTGCTACAACCATAATATAGCTGCAGCATGGCTCTACCACGTAGATAGTGTAGTGTTTGATTGCTGATTTAATATTATATTTATAACTATATCTACCGTAATTCGGTAGTTCCGCTAATCAGTACGATTAGCGGAACAAATTCATGTGAGATGAGACTCTCAAAGCTGCAGCCGAATACTATTTCATCGATCTAATGAGGTAAGCAATGGACTAATGGCACCACATGGTACTCTCCTGAGGGGAAGACCGCGCACGACGAATGGTGAGTGTGGGGCCGTATGCCGTGTGTCTTGAGTGATTAGATCTAAATTCATTAAACAACATTTTAAGAGCTTTCCGAGAGAAAGGTGATTTCTTACTCTGACCTTACACACGAAAGAATTATTATACCGATACAAACTTCTAACCCTCCACTCTAGATGTAAGCAATTAGAGGCATGACATTATTCCATAGAGTAAGATGCAAGTTTGACTGTATTGAGACTGTAATGAGTTAAATAATGTGTTATGTTATGCAGTCCCCAGAACTGTCCATAGACGACGGGTGCGGGTAAACTCTTTGCCGTCGGTACCTGTTGATCCAATACCGGTATTCGTTCACCGATTCGGCATATAGTTGCCATATGTAATGAGACCTACGAGCATATATATATTTTCACGTGCTCAACAGTAAAGGTTCGTGTTCTTTTATTCAAGACACTTTTCAAATAATAATTTGTCACCTTAGTCACATTACTGTACAATAGTACTGTTGTGTACTATCTGTATGTGATATGTATACAGGGATATCTCTTGAGGAAATACTGACCAATTTCCCTTCTGAGTCGCGTCTACGTGCAGTTTTCGAGTCATTACGAATCGTCTCGCACGCAGACTTGACGACTTCCAGCCTGTTTCCGAGATGCCAGTTTCCGCAAAGGCTGTAGTACCATAGAACACATACACCTTTCGGCAAATTGCATAAGACCGAAGAGTACATTTTACCTTTTTGCGTTGCGTATGGGGACTTTGAGAAAGCCTTGATTGCGTCGAAATTTGTCTAAAGTCTTTATACAGTCGGGCTACGATGGCTATCCGAGTACAGCAACCCTGGAGGGGGACACTTTACTGCAAAAAAGTGTAAGACAGGGTGACGTCGCTTTTTACGACAGGTCGCCTCTTACGACACCCACAGTATTTTATTTTTTATTTTATTTAAAGTGGAATAGCTAACAGCTACATTATACAGGCTGGTCGAAATAGTGACGACCAAAAGAAAAATTTAAATTCCCCACACCTAGGTGGGTGAAAACTCATATCTTTTTTTGTAGTAGTTATTTTTCAGATTTTTTCTTTTGACATAATTGTCTTAAATGATAATACTTTTACACATAAAATAATAAATTCCCTAACATTCCTGCAAATTACTAAAAAAAGTATCGAAAGTGAGAATTTTGGTTTTTAGCTGGGTAGACTCAAATTTTCAACTTCAATTTAAAAATACAAAAAGGACTTTCCATAGGTTCTAACTGACTTTAAAAACCTTGCAAGTCCCTAAGCTATTTAAAACATAAAAAAAATTGATACTTAACGGGCAATCATTCGCTGTAATCGGCCTTCGTAGCTAAAAATGCACAAATTTTTTTAAGCTTTAAAAAAATATTTTGCCTATTTTTGCCATCCCTACGGTAAATTTTAGTGGAAAATTCTCGATTGCATTCAAATATACACAAATTGACCGATAAAGATGATAATTTGTAAAAATTTAAAAAAATAAGGTGTAATTTACTCATTAGGTCATTTGGGCTTATTTTTGTATGATAACACCGCACTTCTGCTCCACGCCTACGAAGTAGTGCCACCATAAAGGACGGAATTAAAGAGCTTCAGAAGGAATTCAAGTACCAGTTTTCCACCTTTCAGAAGCTCCGCTGTAATTCCGTCCTCACCTAGCCTTACCGTTTTTAAGGAACTAGGGAATCATTCTAATCTCGCTCAGACTGTTGTCCGAGATCTCATCGGAATAGTGTCGGATAAGACTTACTCTTGGATCCCTACTCACACTTGTATGTGGCTCCAACGATGGCGTGCCCATAGAACCTCTCAATCTCACTCAAAATCTCAGGGGTCCCGAAAATGATGCTGCCACATTTGGTCTTCAGCTTCGACAGTTGGCTCTTTCTGGCAGACGGATCTCTGGCAAAGACTTTGGAGTCCTGGTTCCGCTCGATCGCTTCTTCAATACGAGAAGTATTAAAGTTGCGTAAGTGCCGCTGCATGCATTTGGAGATTTGTCAGTTCAGTTGCCTGTATGCTGTCATATCTGCTAAAGACTGCAGCTTCATTTCCCATCTAAAAGCCATGAGAATAAGTATTTGATTGGAGAGTTTTTGGGTTCTTCTACGACTGGTCTTGCAGTAGTTAGTTCCGACGGCATGGACAATTTCCCCGAGCTTATCATTCATATCGTCCACTGTATTGCAATCTACTAGGCGCTAGAAACGGTTTTGTGATTTGAGCTGAAAGTTATCGGGACTTTGGATAAGAGTACCTCTGTACCTGAGTAAGTAAACCTCTCCAACTTAACGTTTTGATTCAGTATTCGGTGATCGCTACCAGTTTTCACCCTCGCGATCGCAGAGAAATCACTGAACAGTTGCCGTCTGGACTTCATTAATCTCATTTTTTGTCGAACTGTCGGGACTTGACCAGGTCCACTTTCTGTGGGGCCGCTTCTAGAAGAAAGAATTCATCGTAAAGAGTCTCTTTTTCTCTATGAAGTCGGCCAGCTGCTGGCCCCTTGGGTTCCGTTGTCCTATCCCGAATTTCTCTACCTTTAGTTCACCGTTCTCTCTAGTGCTTAGTTTTGCGTTGAAATTTTTACCACCCATTAACCCACTATATGGTGTTATATAGGGTATTAAATAAATATGACTTATCAACTTAATGAATTGCCTTTATATCGTATAATCACAGTAGGGGTGTAATATCAACTTTCCTTCTTATTGGGTATCTGGAGTAAAAACGCTATCACTCTATATTCATAAATCTAGGTATTTTACACCTAACAGAGCCACACAATCTCTTGTGCATTTTAAGACTCTAGAATGGACAAACGCTACCACGGCCTTAGGCAACATTTAATTTCGGGGTGGTTTCAAGGGTGACTCCATTGAAGCGCTGCTGCCTTGTGGTTAGATGAATGTTACCTTCGCAGATTTTATGATAGTGCAGTTATTACACCACGATAAAAAGTAGAACATTAAAATATCATAATTAAGTGGCAAAGCTTGCGAAGTCACTTATTGATTTTACGATGTCTGTCCGTCTGTCCGTCTGTCCCACGATTATCTCGAGAACGGTTTCGAATTTTCAAATTCTGTTTTCAACAATCGATTACTGATCACCCAGGCATCTGAACCTCCTACTTTGAAACTGATTGTTTCAAAGTAGGAGGTTCAGCAAAACTGACAGCAAAAAACTGCTGCAGGGCTCTAACGGTGGTAGAGCCCTGCAGCAGTTTTTTGCTGTTGCACGTATGGGCCGGCTCGAGCCGGATTGGTACCACGACCTCACAGAATACCGGCGTGAAGTAGAGGCTCTGCTTCTGCGTTTCGTCTGGTGAGTGCAGGTGGCCGGAGGCCCAATTCCCCCCCCCCCCCCCCATCAACATGGTAGCGGAATTAGACAATAGACTACCCCAGGAGGGTACCAGTACCCCTGGAGAATCCCTCGCTGAGCATCCACGACCATGTTATTCCAATCCTGAGCGTGGGTGCTCAGGCTGCCCCGCGTATTCTGGGGGGGGCAAAATTCCGCTCAAAAACAAAACTGCTCGGGGCAAGCTGAGCAACAATACCAAGGCGACCCCTGCCACGCTATCCGTGAATTTCTGCAACATCAGGGGACTTCACTCTAACCTAAACGCCGTCCACTACCATCTCGAGACGGCGAAGCCGGCCTTGCTCTTTTTGACCGAGACGCAGGTTTCCTCTCCGACTGATATTTCGTATCTCTCCTACCCGGGGTACAAATTGGAGCACTCCTTTGTGCCTCGGGCTGGAGTTTGCGTGTATGTTAGAGAGGACATCTGTTCTCGACGCCTCGGCAGTCTTGAAGGTTCGGACCTGTCCATCCTTTGGCTACGCGTAGACAGCGACGACCATCCGCGCGTCTACGGGTGCCTCTATAGGTCCCATAGCGGTAATGCCGAAACAGACCGACTCATCGACCACGTCCAAATGGCTACAGATTCCTTGCTACAACAGGTCCCATCCGCAGAGATCGTGATCCTTGGCGATTTTAACGCCCACCATGCCGAATGGCTCGGTTCACGTTTAACCGATCATGCGGGGAGATCTGTTTATGACTTTGCCTTGGCATATGGTCTGACACAACTGGTTACTTCGCCTACGCGGATTCCAGATGTGGAGGATCATACACCTTCCCTGTTGGACCTTCTGCTGACCTCTCATCCGGACGGATATCAGGTTTCCGTCGATGCCCCTCTCGGCTCTTCGGACCATTGTCTGATCCGGAGTATGGTGCCACTCACGCTCCCTTCGCGGTTGCGTTCTGCAGGTTGCCGCCGTGTTTGGCATTACAGGTCGGCGGATTGGGACGGAATGCGGTCTTTCTTTGCATCCTACCCATGGGGGCGGGTTTGCTTCTCGCCGGATGATCCCAGTGCTGTTGCTGACTCTGTCACTGATGTGGTGCTACAGGGAATGGAACTATTTATTCCATCATCTGTGGTACCCATCGGAGGCAGATCTCAGCCTTGGTTTGGTCGCTCCTGTAAGACTGCATTGCGCAGTAAGCAGGAGTGTTATCAAGCCTGGGCTGCGGCTTCGGTGACTCGGGATGTAAACACCAGCACACTTAAAAAGAAGTATAACTTCGCCTCCAGGTCCTTCAAAAGAGTTATTGCCAAGGCAAAGTCAGAGCACATAGGCAGAATTGGCGAGAAACTTGTTCGCCTTCCTTCGGGAACCCGTGCATTCTGGTCTCTCGCCAAGGCTGTCCAAGGGAATTTCTGTAAGCCATCACTACCATCTCTGCACAGGGAGGACGACTCACTGGCCCAAGACGCAAAAGACAAAGCCGACCTTTTAGGCTCCCTTTTTGCGTCCAACTCGACTCTTGATGACGGGGGGAAAATACCGCCGACCATCCCGCGGTGTGAGTGCTCCATGCCGGATGTGCTATTCTCACAGCGCTCAGTTCGCAAAGCACTTCTCTCCCTGGACATCCAGAAGTCGAGTGGGCCTGACGGAATCCCCCCAATTGTGCTGAGGACGTGTGCTCCGGAGTTGGCACCGGTCCTAACGCGTCTTTTCCGGTACTCCTACTCCCAAGGCGTAGTCCCGAATTCATGGAAGACAGCTTTTGTCCACCCGATCCCTAAAAAAGGCGACCGCTCAGACCCGTCCAACTATAGGCCTATCGCGATCACCTCCTTGTTCTCCAAAATAATGGAATCCATTATTAACTGCCAGCTCATCCGGTACCTTGAGGATCACCAGCTGATTAGTGACCGCCAATACGGTTTTCGTCGGGGTCGATCAGCTGGTGATCTTCTGGTCTACCTGACCCATAGATGGGCGAAGGCAGTAGAGTCCAAGGGGGAGGCGTTGGCCGTTAGTCTGGACATTGCGAAGGCCTTTGATCGGGTTTGGCACAAAGCGCTTCTTTCGAAGCTGCCTTCCTATGGGCTTCCCGAGAAATTGTGCAATTGGATCACCAGCTTTCTTGCAGATCGGAGCATCAAGGTCGTTGTAGACGGTGCATGTTCTGACTACAAGCCTATTAACGCTGGTGTTCCACAAGGCTGTGTGCTATCACCAACGCTGTTTCTTCTGCATATCAATGATATGTTGCTAACTGGTAACATTCATTGCTATGCGGATGACAGCACTGGTGATGCTCTATACACCGGCCGGGCCAATATTTCTCGGGAAAACGTCGCCGAGTACCGGAACAAACTTGTGTCTGAAGTCGAGTCTTTGCTGGACAAAGTCTCGGATTGGGGGCGACTAAATCTAGTCCAGTTTAATCCTCAGAAGACACAAGTTTGCGCGTTTACCGCTAAAAAGAACCCCTTTGTCGTATCTCCTCAGTTTCAAGGCACTCCCCTTCTTGCCTCAGCCAGTATCGGTATCCTCGGAGTCGACATATCGAATGACGTGCAGTTTCGTGGTCACTTGGAAGAGAAGGCCAAATTGGCCTCTAAAAAGCTTGGCGTGCTCAGCAGAGCGGGACAGTATTTCATGCCGGCACACCGCCTGCAACTTTACAAGGCGCAGGTTCGGCCTCACATGGAATACTGTTCCCATCTCTGGGCAGGGGCTCCCCAGTGCCAGCTCCTTCCACTTGACCGCATCCAGCGCAGAGCGGCTCGAATCGTCGACGACCGAGCCCTTTCCGATCGGCTCGATTCATTGGCACTGCGAAGAGATGTTGCATCTCTTTGCATTTTCTTTCGCATCTACCATGGGGAGTGCTCTGAGGAATTGTTCGGATTAATCCCAGCCGCCAAATTTCACGAACGCACATCGCGGCAGAACTCCCGATACCATCCACACCATCTGGATGATTGGCGGTCCACCACTGTGCGATTTAGAAGATGTTTTCTTCCTCGCACAACTTCCTTGTGGAATAGTTTACCACCAGGGATTTTTCCGGACCGATACGACTTAGGGACCTTCAAGAAAAGAGCCTACTCCTTTTTAAAAGGCCGGCAACGCATCTGCAATTCCCCTGGTGTTGCGGTTGTTCATGGGCGGCGGTAGTCACTTACCATCAGGTGAGCCGCATGCTCGTTTGCCCCCTATCCTATAAAAAAAAAAAAAAAAAAAAAAAAAACGGCAACCGTTAGAAACCGCTACAAAGCTGATTGCTTTGCCACTTTGCTATGCTGTTAGCTTGCTAGGTTTATTATAGTACGAAATATTGCTATATAAAAGGAAGTCACACACCTGCTTTGTACCAAATTTAAACTCTTTTTCCTGGAACGTTGGATCCCAAACGTTTTTCAAAACACTAAAATCGATTTTTATCATTAACCATTTAAATGGATTTTGAAGCAATATCAATTTTGGTACGCGTTTTTTCCCTTTTTTCGGTGGGTCTTTTCGACGGAACGTAAAAGTCTTCGGTAATAATTCCAATGGGAGTTTTTGATTTAGTAGTAATTTCCTTTTATCCTTTGTTTTTGGTTCCAACTGTTGAAAATTTAATTTCTGGTCTACATAGAATGATATATTGCGGATAATGTTTGTTTTGCATGGGGCAATAATTTTTTTCTTAGAATAATCAATACTTTTTATAGACTGTTTAACAACAGATGATTTTGTTATTGGCAGAAGCTGCTTTAGTACAAATATTACTTTATCAGCCATCTGTAAAAAATAAATATAATTAAAATAAATTTATATCAATAAATAAAAATATTTTTTACTATTTTTTCCTTACCATTAGCCCGCAAACTTAAACTAGGAGGATTTACCGTAATTATTTAAATTTAAATTATTAATATAAACAAAAATATTTACTCTGATTAATTTGCTCTGAATGAATGTGTCTTACCAGGTCGTCACTCCATCTAGTGGGGGGTCGCCCTACACTTCGCTTGCCGGTACGAAGCTGCCACTCGAGAGCCTTTCTTCCCTATCGGTTGTCGGGTCTTCGAGCTATATGCCCGGCCCATTGTCACTTCAGCATACGAATTCTTTGAGCTATATCGGTTACTCTGGTTCTACTGCGGATATCCTCGCTTTTAAGTCTATCACGCAGAGACTCGCCGAGCAAAGTCCTCTCCGTAGGCTCAAAGAATTAGACATGCAGGAAGTCAATTGATGCAGGTGGCTCGGCACCGTGCTTTGTGGCATTCCTTGGGGGAGGCCTATGTTCAGCAGTGGACTTGTGAAGGGCTGTAATGATGATGACGTATATTTTAATTTTATAATATTTAGGGTACTGTGGTCACCAATCCGTCTTCTAAGTATGGCATTTAAGTTTAATTCAAACTATGTAGGTACTTCAATATCAACTCCATACCATACCATAAATAAAGAGTATCGTTATAGTACTTACTATTTCCCCATTGCAAAACTTCGCTTTTTTAAATATTTATGTATGTTTAACTACAACATTTCCGAATTTTTAATTATCTAATTTACTAAATTTATTGACTGTTTTAAAACCTACATTGCGAATGACAGCAAGCTGTCAAGCATAAACTATAAATAAAACGTAAAATGAAACATAAAATCACGACATCAAATGAAGTGAATATAATCTCTATGCTGTCAACACTGCCGCTGTCAATCGCCGGCGAGATTCAATCACCCGATTTCGTACCGTGGGTCCCGCCTAAGGGTATTAGTGTTCTATGCCGTGGGTGCCGTAAGAAGCGACTGTGGGAAGTGCCACTCTTATTATTTTCAATTGTTATCAGGTAGATACTGCTGCTCATCTCTTGCTTCAGTTTGCCTCGTTCGCCTTTTACGACACCTACGATAGGAAACGAGGTAAAGGTAATGGATATTCTTACACCGCCACTACACAATCTATTTACATATATTTATCAATCATCAAAAGTACTGTCCCACTGTCAAGTAAAAGTTACTGCTGATGCTGTATCATTTTAACAAGCAAATGTGGGGTAAAACTTTGGACAGGAAACAGAATGCCATAAGGTGCATTGACAAATTTTCTTTGGCAATAAGGAACATTATTTTTGATTTCATTAGAATGATTGCCACGGTACAGAATTGTTGAAGGACATTAGAGCATTTTTTTTCATTATTGCATAGTGCTCCGTGTACTGTGTAATGACAGTGAAAGAATATCCACTATCCATACCTTCCCGTGGTTGTCATAAGAGGCGACAGAGGAGTACTGAGGCAGCATATGGACAGCAGCATCTTTCTGGTAACAACAAAACTACAACAAAACCTGCGATTGCCAACTCGCTTGCCAAGCGTGGCAACTATGACAAACACGTGACGTCGCAAACAAACGGCCCCAGTCCCCGGCAACCGCGCTATTCCTGGCTACAGTGGCGACCATGGTAACGGCAGGGCAGGATCTGTGGGATTTTATAGGATTATGTGGGGTCCAAAAAGAGGGGAAGGACACGGTAATCCTCGAATACGGAACTTTTTCTATCACCGGGCGGGCGACCATCTGTCCCAAAGAGGTGTCGGATTTTTCGTCCGCAAGTCTCTTGTTAACAATGTTGTAAAGATTGTGAGTGCGTCGACAACGGTTGTGTACCTTATATTTAGAATCAACAAACGGTATTCGTTGAGGGTCATTCAGGTTTACGCACCAACCTCGGCACATCCCGATGAGGAGGTGGAGAAAATGTATTAGGATGTCTCTAGAGCCATGCATTCCTCCAAAACCTACTATACTACGCTGTACGACTTACGCAACTTCAATACAGCTCGTATTAAAGAAGCAATCGAGCCAGAACCAGGACTCCAAAGTCTTTTGATACAGATTTGTCTGCCAGAAAGAGTCAACTGTCGAAACTGAAGACTGAATGTGGTCGCATCATTTCCGGGACACCTGAGATTTTGAGTGAAATTGAGAGGTTCCATGGGCAGCTGTACTCGTCATCGTTGGAGCCACACGCTAGTGTGAGTAAGGATCCAAGAACAAGTCTTATCCGACACTATTCCGATAATATCCTGGATGTCGGTCTGAGCGAGATTAGAATGGTTCTCATTACCGCGTACCTTAAAAACGGTAAGGCCCCAGGCGAGAATCGAATCACAGCGGTGCTTCTGAAAGCGGGTGGAAAACCAGTCCTTGAAGTCCTTCAGAAGCTCTACAGTGTACACCTTTACAGTGTTACCAACTCAAATTTTTCAAAACCAGTCTACTCCAGAGGCGTGGAACAGAAGTGTGATGGTCTTGTTCGTCAAGCTCTTGAGGAACTACAGACCGATTTACCTTTTGAGCCACGTCTGCGTGCTGTTTTCGAGAGTCATTACGAATCATCTCGTACGCAGACTTCAAGCTGAATAAGCCGGTTTCCGAAAAAAAAAAGATATATATATGTTACGGCCTACGGCTGCTCCCTTAAAGGTCAAATCCTCAGGGGCCCATTCAGCTGAGTTTCGACGAGCAGACGTAGGTCGGGCCTCCTCCAGGCCAAAGTGGAAAATCTCTAATTACACTAAACTGTATGGGGGAGCGTTCTATACTACGGCCGGTCGACCGGGAGAATATTAGACGGAGCTTACTTACCTATATCCAAGGCGACTGGTCCCTCCGGAGTCGGTCAGGTCGCATGTGGTTGTGTAGTGCAAGGGAAATAAGGTGTGTGATGTGTATCTGGGTGTGACTGATGGTGATTGATCCGAGTACACCTTGGCCGTCGGCAGCAGCCCGGGCGTCGACACCGCTCCAAATTGAGGGAACCTTCCGCGGTGTCCACAGTCACTTTCCTCGTTCGTCACGATGACAGTCCATTAACTCTATCGTACGATCAACCAACTTACAGAAGCCACCAACTCTCGTTTGTTATAAGGTTAACGCACAAAAAGAACACGGAGCGTCCGGATCAAAGGTAACTACCGTTTCGCGTAGCAACAGTTATTTCTAGAATATCAAAGGCCGCACTAGCTAATATTGTCGAATGCACCTATACAGATTCTGAGTCGGACCCAATAAGTCCCGGGAAAGGCTATCCAACAAGGAATTCGCGTAATAAATCCTAGACAGGATGTTTACTAGACGTCTAAACTATTCCGAGGTTCCCGAACAAAAAATGACAGTGTGCTAGCGTTAGCACCGCTGACAGACGACAGCTGCACTCGCACGCGCTCGACACATCCAACTGTCAAACCGGTATAGCACCGAGCCGCGCGCCCCCTAGACGTCGATTCCGACAACAGTGTTTGGCGCGAACAATATATATATATATTTGTCGTATTACTCTACAGCAAGATTCCGTATAACATTTGCTATGGAAACAACTAACTAGCACTTTGAATAGTGTGGTTATTTAATTATATTTATTATATAAATATATACAATTTTGACAACTTCTAGCCTCATATCATGTCACACCTTTGTCGGTAGTTGTTGGGAGCAATAAGCTTGAAAAGTCCAACTTCAACCGAGAGATCGAACGACGGATTCAACTAGGCTGACTAGTGTTCGAGAGATTACGACACATCTTCTCGTCAGACATACCTCAAAGCTTGAAAACAAGATTGTAAAACCAGTGCGTGTTGCCAGTGATGACTTATGGGTCTGAGACGTGGTCCTTCACTGCTGGCCGTTTGAGGAAGCTCAAGGTTCTTCAGCGAGCTATGGAAAGGGCTATGCCTGGGTTTCTCTGTGTTATACAACAAGAGTAACCGACATAGCCCAACGGATGAGTAAGCCGAAGTAACAATGGACCGGCCATATATCTCGAAGAACCCACAACCGAAAGCGAAGAAGAAGAAAGGGTTCTCTAGTGGCAACCTCGTACCGGTAGACTAAGTGAAAGGCGGCCCCGCACTAGATAGAGTGAAGACCTGGTAAGACATGCAGGAATTCGATGGATGCAGGTGGCCCAGGACCATGCTTTGTGGCATTACTTGAGGGAGGTCTATATTCAGAAGTACACTTGCGAAGTTGATGATGATGTATAGCGCTCAATGACTGCAAAGTGTCTCAGAACTTTAAGATGAATATAGACAAGATAAAAGTTGTGTAAAACGTACATATCATACATATGCCGGTAGATTTGAGAATTTTTAGTTGTTGTTGTTAAGTACGAGGGCAGGTCAAAAAGTTCGCGGAATGAAAGGGAAAGAGGGAGAAACTAATTTTTCCTTTTCGATATATTCTCCTTTATCCCCAATGCACTAATTCTCAGACCGTTCAAATAATTTATTTATATCTTCGAAAAGGATGTTTTTTTTTATAGGATAGGGTGACAAACGGACACACAGTCCACGTTATGTTAAATGTTAGCTGTGGCCCACAGACATTTACATCAATACTCAATAAAGAATCAAAATGCTGATGCGTTGTCACCCGTGAGGACTAAGATGGAATGCCTCTTATCTCAGCTTAGCTTACCATACGAAACACAGCAGTGTCAAGCTGCTATTTTACGTTGGTATTCTGTGAGAGTGTGGTTCTTCTACGGTTGAGTCGACCCATTCGTGCTAAAACTATACAACTAATATAACTGCACTATGGCTCTACCACGTATAAAACATTTTGTCAAGGCCCCATAAAAATAAGCAGAATTTGCCGACTTCCCTTTTTCGTCACCTGTTAATAATTTTTTTCCTGAAGCTCTATATTAATTTTGGGAACAAATAATAACCTGAATGGGCCAAATCTGTACTATAGAGAGTTGTTTAAAGTTTCGAAGCCGTACTTG